GAAGATCCATCAATTCACAACTCGGAGGAATGGCCACCAGATCCGGGAGTGAGAGACCGAAGGACGGGTGGGCTGTCAATGCTGACAGCGGACCATGTCTGTGACGGGCAGGAAAATGCTGTATACAGGGAGTTATGGGCCAGGTTGATACCATTTTCCAGACCAGATCTGGTCCGGAAAATGGTGTAATCCTGCCCACAGTTCCAGTGCATTCCAGACCAGACAAAAGCATGCAGCATTCCTCTGGTCTGGACTGGAACGGACTTCGCTGGTGTGAACAGAGGCCAGACATAGCATAGGGATACATTAGGATGCATTTTGGGTCCAGAAACAATGTGGTCTGGAGACGATCCGAACATGGTGTGAATGGGCCCTGCAGATGAAGTATAATCTGCTTGTATTTTGCCTTCCCTGGCCCCCCTTAAAGACCTAATTTTAAACTCTGGGACCCAATGCTTCTCTATGCAATGCTGGCAGATCATATCGGGTGGGAGGGGCCTGCAGGGTGCTGTACATAACTTCCTGGAAAGCACCCTCACTCAGTACTCCTCTCAAGAGCCCTCAGTCCTGATGCAAGCAGTGGGCTGGCTCTTGGGAGGAGTTATGCAAATATCAAAATACCCTGATGGGTGGATGTCAGTCTGGAGGAGCGGGCATTCACATTTGCATGCAGACCGTCCTAGGTAATGCCAACATGCGATGCTGAGTCTCTATGACTGAAATCCAATGAATGAAATGGGGTGGGCCAGGGACAAAATCAGGCTGGGGAGGAGAGGGCTAGATGCTGGACGTCCTCCAGCCAGAAAATGAGGGCTCTATCTGACTTGCTGCAGCTTCTAATGCACCTTGGGAGAAACTCTGTGTGTGCAGTGACATTAGAAGTAATCTCAGTGCAGTAGAGGAGCCAGTAGGTCAGAGAGAAGACTGAAGGGGGGGGAGGCCGGGAGGTCAGAGGGGAGGGGGGAAGGCCGGGAGGGCAGAGAGAAGACTGAAGGGGGGGGAGGCCGGGAGGTCAGAGGGGAGGGGGGAAGGCCGGGAGGGCAGAGAGAAGACTGAAGGGGGGGGAGGCCGGGAGGTCAGAGGGGAGGGGGGAAGGCCGGGAGGTCAGAGAGAAGACTGAAGGGGGGGGAAGGCCGGGAGGTCAGATAGAAGACTGAAGGCCGGAGGTCAGAGAGAAGACTGAAGGGGGAAGGTCAGAGAGAAGACTGAAGGGGGAAGGCCAGAGGTCAGAGAGAAGACTGAAGGGAAGGAGGGTGAGAACCACTGTCCTGTTTATACCGCTCTGTCCGTTAGGCAGATTCAACCTTTTTTTTGGACATCGTCGCTGGTAAAGAAACAGGAAAATGGACAGAAATGGTGACAACTGTCTCGGAGGGAAGTTCCTACAACTTCCGGTTGTGTCTCTGTGACAAGATGTGAAATCTCTATGGAAAGCAGGGACAGGAGGAGAGAAAAGAAATAAAAACAGAACGCAGAAAAATGTCATCTTTCCCGTCATCTAATAGGAACAAAAGTCAATCTGTCAGCAGAACGAGGAGACGGAACCATAAATCAGATCCAAATAAAATCCAATTGTAAGAAGAAGTGACAGTTGCACCATCAGCATTGGACAAACAACGTCCCTCTACTTGATCTGCCAGCCCACCAACATGCAGAACAGCGCGAGTTCTGGGTTCGGGTCCATTCCTCGTAGGTCAAGGGCCAGTGAACATTTTACCTAAAGGGCCCCATCCAACGTCTACCGGTGCCCACCATCCAGGAGGAAAGTTATCTTCCAAGGTTTGGACAGAGGAAAGGTCAGCTTTAGGCTTCACTGTATTGGCTAGATCTAAACCAGAACCCCCCCCCCACACACTTTACTCAGCAGCAGCCGGGGGGGGACGACACTGGTAATAGGCGGCGCCATCCGCAGCCACTACAAGCACCCCCCCAGGACTGGGGACCTCTGGTAGGAAGTGCAGCAAGGCAACTTTGATCTAATGGTGCCCCTTGGTTAAAAAGATCCAGCCCCGATTTACAGCCATCTACGCTCTGCCTGCTGCAGCACATTCAGAAGGCTCAGCCGGGCCTACGTGGAACAAAGCAACAATACTATGACCTGCTGTATAATTGAAACCAAATTAATTTTCCACTTGTACGCATTGCTAATGAAACCTAAAGTGGCCCCATCTAACGTTAACCCGCCTGCTTCTCATACAGGTACCCGGCCACAACAAAAATCACCAATGTTATTATTGTAAGAGAAGGGGGGGAAAAAAAAATTCGGCATCAACAAATCACTAAACGGCAAAACCGTGCGCAGGTTTAATAAGACAGAACGAAGGTCAACGAGGGGCAGCAACCCAAAAGGCAGAATGTTCCATTGGGAGGGAAAGCCCAAATGCTCTGGCTGCATTGCAGAATAGATGGAGAGATCCCCTCCATCCCCGAAAGAGTCACCGGAGCGCCAGGAACCTCGGCGTCACACTCGGATTCTTCTTTGTACTCCATTACCAAGTGAGCCATAGGGTCCAAAATGAGTCACCTGAGCGCCAGGAACCTGGGTGCCGCACTCCAATCCTTCTCTCCTGTCCATCTACGGCCCACTTAGCGAAGGAGTAATCTCCCCCCATCTTCAAAAGAGAGATACACAAGCGCCAGGAACCTCAGAACCACACTCCAATCCTTCTTTGTACGCCATCGCTAAGTGGACCATAGGCTCCAAAATGAGTCACCTGAGCGCCAGGAACCTTGGCACCACACTTCAATAGTTCTTTGTACTCCATCACTAAGTGGATGATAGACTTTAAAATGAGTCGCCAGAGAGTCAGGAACCTCGGCACCGCACTCCAATCCTTCTCTCTGCTTGATCGCTAAACAGGCCATAAAAGGCGAGGTCTCCTATCCTCAAAAGAGTCGTCAGAGCTGCAGGAACCTTGGTGCGGCACTCCAATCCTTTCTGCTCCATCACTAAGTGGACGATGGAGAAAAAGATCTCCCCATCCTCAAAAGAACCACCTGAGCACCAGGAACCTCTGCGCCACACTCCAATTCTTCTCTTTGCTCCATCACCAAGTGGACAATAGACTTCAAAAACCAGTCACCTGAGCACAAGGAACCTCGGCGCCACATTTATAACATTCTTTCTGCTCCATTGCCAAGTGGGCCACAGGCAGAGAGATCTCCCCATACTCAAGAGTCTTCCGAGTGCCAGGAACCTCAGCACCACACTCTGGTCCTTCTCTCTGCTCCATTGTCAAGTGGGCCATACAGAGAGAGATCTCCCTATGCTCAAAAAGGTTGCCTGAGCGCCAAGAACCTGGGCGCCACACTCCAATCCTTTTCTTGCTCCATCATTAAGTGGATTATAGACTTCAAAACGTGTCATCTGAGTGCCAGGAACCTCGAATACCACATTTCATATGTTCTCTCTGCTCCATTGCCAACTGGGCCATAGAAGGTGAGATCTCCTCATCCTCAAATGAGTCACCTGAGCACCATGTTCCAAACCTTCTCTCTGCTCCATTGTCAAGTCGGCCACAGGAGGAGAGATCTCCCCATCCTCAGTGGGCCATAGAAAGGGAGATCTCCCCATCCTTAAATGAGTCATCGGAGCACCAGGAAGCTGGGCAACACATTCCTAAACTTCACTCTAATAGGTTGGACTTGATGGACTAAATGTCTTTAGTCAACCTCAAATACAATGTAACTCTGCATCGTTGCCAAGTGGGTCATAGAAGGAAAGATCTCCACATCCTCAAATTAGTCACCCGAGTGCCAGGAACCTGGGTGCCACACGCCAATCCTTTTCTCTGCTCCATCACCAAGTGGACGATAGACTTCAAACCTGGGCGCCACACTCCTCCAATAACTAACCCTGGACCCCACAGATGAAGATGCTCATCGCCCAATCAGAGCAGCCCAATACCTGCAAATGATCCCTGAAACTGGTAATGACTCTTGCAATGATGGGCCCGTCTAGAACCACCCAGGGTGGGTGGCTGGCTTTATACAGCCAATTTGTACAAGATGCACCACAAATTTAACACACGGTTTCGCGTAGGGTGTCCATCAAGAAGGCAATCATTGGAACTCCATCACCTTGCAAAATTTCAGAACACCTACCCACCACCGGCCCTGAAAATGGTCACAACTAGGTCTTATTTTCGGGGTAGGTCTTATATTTTAGCAATTCTCCAAAATAGTACTAGGTCTTATTTTCGGGGTAACAGGGTATTGCTGCGCCAGTGAATGTTCGGGGAGGGAGATCTGGATGGAGTGGACATTCACCATGTGCCCTAGTCTATTGGGCGCAGGGAAGAGGACAACCACTTTTTGATTTGCATCCACCCCCCTTGTTTTCTTTTTTTAGAAGGCGGAAATCAGTTCACCTTCTGGAAACAATGAAAAATATAAAAGAATGAAAGCTTCAGCATCAAATTGAGTTGGGGGGGGAGGAGGGGCACAATGACAAATTAACCTCCATGTCTAAAGTGCGGGCAACTCTGGAGATCAGAAGAAATATCGTTGATTCCAATCTCTCCTGCAAGTTGGTACGGATTGCACTAAGAACCATAATCTGCCCAATTCCCAGGAGGCAGGCGCACTGCCAATCACCTGGTCCATAAGTCCATCTCATCTGGAACATGCCAGCAAAGCATATTAATACACAATAAACAGCAAATAAGAAAATAAATTCAACAGTATACGAAGTGAAAACCTGGAGGATCAGCAAACCAAACAAAATGCCCATCCAGGGGCTGTGTGCCAGCCTGGCATCACTAGACTGGGCACAGCCAGCTGAGTCAATGAAAAGCTACAAAGTCAGAAAGAGGGGAAAAAACAAAACAATTGTAATAATGAAGACAAATAAAAACATATATAGAACATAGAACAGTAAATCCTGACAGCTGGGTGATAATAGAACACCTCCATCCTCCATCACCCAGACCACACAAGGTGCCCGGCGGGTGTCCATGGCCGGTGCCCCCCAGGGTGCTCGGTGGTGCCCATTTGCTCACCTTGTACACATTCTCGGTGAGCCGGTGCACCTCCTCTGAGCGGGACATGGTGGCCCCCTCCGTCTGCTCCTCAAGCTCTCCCCGGGAGCCGCTGATAATCCAAAGCTGGCGGCGGCCGCTACTGATTGCTGGCACCTGTGTGGGCGCTTATATAAGGCCGTGCCTCCGGAGATCCGCCCACCCTCCATCACACCGCCCACTTTCCCCTCCCAGCAGCCGCGCCACGCCCCCGCCTTCAGCTCATCGGCTGCTCTGAGCGTTGCCGGGCAACCGCTTCCCCAGACATCCGCCTTTGCTTTCTAAACATGACTACGGAGGAAAGAAACGTGTTGCCCATAGCAACCATTCAGCGGCAGAGGATGAATCCTGAATGGTTGTTAAAGGCACCTTTATTTGCTTTTGCGGAAGTATAAAGCTGCCTGGTGTTGCGATTGACAACTATTGTTTATTTCAAGGCTGAGGTGAAGTTAGGGTGCTATGGGCTACAGAGCTATTTTGCTCCTGAAAAAGATTGCAAAAAATAGCATTGTGGTGTTATTATTGACAACCAGATTTTTTTTTTTATTTTTTTAACTTGGACATAGAGAAGATTTTTGGGTTTGTTATGGACAGCAAGCGAAACTTTAATTTCCTCTGTTGGTTGCTGTGGGCAACCATCCTACAGGACTTGCTCGTGACAACCAGTCTGCCTCCCCTGTTAATGTGAGTTGGGCTGGCAAATATAATGCATATCTAGTTACGATGGGCTATCAAATATGGTTGCTATGGGATATAGCTATAATTGCTATGGGTCATAGCTATGGTTGTTATGCTTTATAACTATGGTTGCTTGGGCCTTAGCTATGGTTGCTATGGGTTGTAGCTATAGTTGCTATGGCTTACTGCTTTGGGCTTTTGATATGGGCTATAGCTATGGTTGCTATGGGATATAGCTATGATTGCTAAGGGTTATAGCTATGGGTTTATAACTATGGCTACTGTGGCCTTTAGCTATGGTTGCTATGGGTTTTAGCTATGATTGCTATGGATCATAGCTATGGTTGCTTTGGTTTATAACTATGTTTGCTTTGGGCTTTAGCTATGGTTGCAATGGGATACAGCTATGGTTGCTATGTGATATAGACCATTTTGCCTCTGCTGCAATGTAAATAACTTAACCCGGTGGCCACTGGCAGTAGGTCAGATTCCTGGTGTTCTGTCCCTGAGCAGGACTGAGAATCTGGCGGTGGCTTTGGTTGCTATGGGCAACAGCAAAATGACAACGTTTCTCCCATCAGTCTTTTTAAGCCGGTGACATACATACCTGTACATAGAACATGAACCCCGGTGGCCCTTTAAAGGGGGTTCCATGTTCTCGGCGTCCACATCGACCTCTCCGCGTTCCGGGTGATGAGCCGACATTAACATTCATCAATTCCACCCACAGAGCTGCTATGTGATCCGTCTCCAGCTGGGAGAGCAGCGCCGGGACTGTGGTGTAAATACAGCAAGGTGTGTACCCGGGAGAGAAGCCATGACTGTCACATGACCAACAGGGATGTCATGAGGAGAACATACATGTGAGACCAGAACCTACCCCATCACAAGTCACCACAGATGTAAGGGGGCGGAGACAAGACCAGTCACCCTGCACAAGGACAGAGAGCAGCTGTGACCAGTCTTTATTACAGGAAGGGGCGGAGACAAGACCAGTCACCCTGCACAAGGAGAGAGCAGCAGCAGTGACCGGTCTTTATTACAGGAGGGGGCGGAGGCAAGACCAGTAACCCTGCACAATAAGAGAGAGCAGCAGTGACTGGTCTTTATTACAGGAGGGGGCGGAGACAAGACCAGTCACCCTGCACAAGGAGAGAGCAGCAGCAGTGACTGGTCTTTATTACAGGAGGGGGCGGAGACAAGACCAGACACCTCGCACAAGGAAAGAGAGCTGCAGTGACTGCCTCCGGTAATGGAGACCTCACCTCGTACCGTGATGTCATGACGCTGCCACTTTAAGACTGGAAGACCCTGTGAGGACAATTTGATGGACACTTTTGACAGCCAATCAGAAGCATCTACATGATTGGAAGGAGCTGCATGTAGAACCCTTCCCCGCTACAGAAGATCTGGTCACCTAGCTGGTCACATGACTGCAGGTTCAGGTAGGAAATGTTACATTTCTGTCTGTTTGGTTACTGGGTGTGACAGCATTGAGATGTTCCCTCACTTCCTGTCTGTAGCCATTGAGGCAGGAAGTGAGGAGTAGTTTGTCCAACAGGATTGCAGACAGCAATAAAAAGCTGATGGACGTTCTACGCCTGTCCAATATCAAAACTGCAGCATGTTGCGCTGGTTTCAAACAGTATATATTATTAAAGGGGATGAAAAACCAATGCACCCTCCATGTGGCCCAGATTCTTTTGCAGCAGTATGCCTCATGGGACTTGTAGTTCCACAACAGCTGGTGGGTCGGAGTTGCCCACCCCCTGCACTAAAGGGAGAGACTGCCGGTCTGTGTGCACACGCTATGTAATCAGCATAGCTGCTAGGAACATGGTTGTCACTCTATAACAGGAAGTGCCTGAACATTGACCGTCATGGCAGGATCAGAGCTGCGGATTTGAATAGATGACATTGTTATTATTATTTTTTTAAAGATATAAAAAGTGTTCGAGTTTTACACGATGATGTCATTTTAAATGGACACGCCCCCTGAGTATGTGTGAGTGACACAGGGGAGAGTAAATGTCTTTTTTTCCCATGAGGGGGGATACAAAGTGTAACTAATATACTTTCATTTAGGTTTACCACAAGAGGTGAGATTCAGCCCGAAACATGGGGGAAGGGATGCGCCGATATCGTTTTTTCGCTATCGAGTACGGATATTTTTTTATCGGTACTGGTTGATACCGGCTAATGATACCAAAAGTCCCATTAAGGATCACAAGGAGAGAGAAAGCGGCAGTGAGCGGTCTTTATTACAGGAGGGGGCGGAGACAAGACCAGCCACCCTGCACAAGGAAATAGAGCTGCAGTGACTGCCTCCGGTAATGGAGACCTCACCTCGTACCGTGATGTCATGACGCTGCCACTTTAAGACTGGAAGACCCTGTGAGGACAATTTGATGGACACTTTCTGGCCAATCAGAAGGCTGGGGGGCGGGTAACGACTCGCTGCCCGGCTTCACCAGGTGAGGAGGAAGCATGGATCTGGCTTTCTGGCCAATCAGAAGGCTGGGGGGCGGGTAACGACTCGCTGCCCGGCTTCACCAGGTGAGGAGGAAGCATGGATCTGGCTTTCTGGCCAATCAGAAGGCTGGGGGGCGGGTAACGACTCGCTGCCCGGCTTCACCAGGTGAGGAGGAAGCATGGATCTGGCTTTCTGGCCAATCAGAAGACTGGGGGGGGAGGTAATGACTCACTGCCCGGCTTCCTGACTGGCCCGGGAAGCCGGCTCCATGCTCGCTCGTCACGAAATAAGAATGACATGTCCGCCTTCCTCACCTGTCCCAACCCTACTGAGAACTTGGGGGCTCTTCTTATACGGGAGGTTTGCGGTGAAGGAAAACAGTGTCTGGGGGGCCGTGGTTGCTGCGGTGCAAAAAAGTTGATGGCCAACAGATGAAGAAACTGACAGACTCCATGGATGGGGGGCTGAGGACTGACAGACTCCATGTATGGGAGGCTGAGGACTGACAGACTCCATGTATGGGAGGCTGAGGACTGACAGACTCCATGTATGGGAGGCTGAGGACTGACAGACTCCATGTATGGGAGGCTGAGGACTGACAGACTCCATGTATGGGAGGCTGAGGACTGACAGACTCCATGTATGGGAGGCTGAGGACTGACAGACTCCATGTATGGGAGGCTGAGGACTGACAGACTCCATGTATGGGAGGCTGAGGACTGACAGACTCCATGTATGGGAGGCTGAGGACTGACAGACTCCATGTATGGGAGGCTGAGGACTGACAGACTCCATGTATGGGAGGCTGAGGACTGACAGACTCCATGTATGGGAGGCTGAGGACTGACAGACTCCATGTATGGGAGGCTGAGGACTGACAGACTCCATGTATGGGAGGCTGAGGACTGACAGACTCCATGTATGGGAGGCTGAGGACTGACAGACTCCATAGATGGGGGGCTGAGGACTGGCAGACTCCATGGATAGGGGGCTGAGGACTGACAGACTCCCTGGATGGGGGGCTGAGGACTGACAGACTGCATGGATGGGGGGCTGAGGACTGACAGACTCCATAGATGGGGGTCTGAGGACTGGCAGACTCCATGGATAGGGGGCTGAGGACTGACAGACTCCATGTATGGGAGGCTGAGGACTGACAGACTCCATGTATGGGAGGCTGAGGATGGACAGACTCCATGGATGGGGGGCTGAGGACTGACAGACTCCATGGATGGGGGGCTGAGGACGGACAGACTCCATAGATGGGGGGCTGAGGACTCACAGACTCCATGGATGGGGGGCTGAGGTCTGTGATTGGCTGTATTGGTCAATGATTTTGTTTTTTGGAAATGTCAGAAATGTTGATTTGTAAATTTTGGGTTGTTTGTTTCTTCTTCTCACTTTACCAGATGAAAATAAACAAGTGAGACGGAACATTTTCCTTTTCCATAATAATCCCGCCCACTGATAGTTCCCAATAATTGTCCTCACCCAAAATATCCTCCTAAGAAAGCCAAAACCTCACTTCTTCTTTCTTCAATATTCAGGTGTGAGGTTTATGAACATTTTGGATGTCGGAGAGCGCCGGAGTTGTTCAATAATGAAATGAATCCTCAAAAATACAACTTGCCTAATAATTGGGCACGCAGAGTATATTTGTTTGTTGTTATATGGTTGTTCTGTTGATATAAATTAGGGAACTTTGGAGCGCCGCACATTTCATATAGAGAAGATGTTTTTGTATTTCTTCTCATGCTGAGGTGAAAGCTGCTATTTGAAGGTTAGGGATTAGCGCTGAAGGTTCTTTTAGCAAAGTCCAAATCCCATTCGCACTGCCACGGTCTCAAAACCACAAGGTATATGTGGTGCCCAGGTGACCACACGGATGGCGCCGTGCAAAACACTAATGATAAATAAAAGTAAATCACCTTCAAGTGTGTGCCGGTG